ATTGGAGAAATGTAGATGCAGTCTTCAGCAGAATATGCAGATCATTTCAAGATAGATTCATAATTCACAGAACTCATGCAGGTCGATTATTTGAAACTTTTGTTTAACATAATAGTAAATTGGAAAATAACTGGAATAAACTGATGGAATTTGAAAGAAACTAAGAAGTTTGGTTAAAATTCCATTCTTCATGGCTAAAGAATATTACAATGGCCAGTGTAAAACAATGAAAGAAAATTAATCAAAATACATGCAAGAACAAATTCTAATATATTAAGAATATCATTAACTTTTTTTTTCTTCATGTAAAATATTTTGGTTTCATTAATTTCTGTGTAGGATTCTTGGGATTGTGTTTTAACGAGGATTTGTCGAGCTGTAAAATGTATACACTGCTCAAAAATACGGTTGCTAATGAACATTTCAACATGAAACCTTTGACAATATTAGGATATGGCATGGGTATCTCGAGGTGGTGTAATGGCTAGCAAGCTTGTCTTGCTAGAACAATTACGATTGAGTAGTGAGTTCAGTCCTCACTGGGTGCCCCATACTTTCGACTTTGTGCCACATCTAAGCTACGCTTGAAAAATCTCTATTAGGATATGGCGTGTTAAAAATGGTGTGTTTTGAAATCTGAATTCTATGAAAATGTCATTCTACATACTTAAGTTCTCTCATTAATGTTTGTTCACAAATGTATTTTCAAAGTCATTAAAAATGTTAATCCATAGTGTCATCCACAAATGAGTTTGCACCAATGACTTTTAAAGAAAGTTAATTATCATCCAAATTAGTGCTTTATTACTTCTACTTGAATATTATGCAATTGTTTGTTTTTTTAAAGCTTATCAACCCTTTGCAGCTTATTTAAAGCCAGAAAGTATTTTTAGATTTTAATAGTTTTTTGGACATAATAATGATTTAGTGATACAAGTCTTACTAATTAACCCATAGCTGGAGGGAGGTGGATTCATACCTTCCCCAAGTGTATTTGCACTTAAGTGAATCTAACGACCCCAACTGGAATTGGAACTTGGCCCTCCAATTATCAATTCCAATCCATTATCAATTACACCACCTCCATATCCAAGCTTAAAGCATCTGGTATTTACAAGTGATGGAAAAAGTTGAACCTTTTCAGGATCTGTATAAAAAAATGTTGTCTTTGCTCTGATTTCTTTTGCATTGCTCCATCATTTATAAATGACTTGAATTTAGAAATTAACTGTTGTCTTTGTGAAATCTTCATATCAAAGTGAACCTTTGGTAAAAATATTTTCAATAGAAAGTATCATAATATGAGATCTGATCAAAAAGTATTGGGAATTCTGATATGGCAACAGAGCTAAAGTATGTAGAGTGAAGCTGTTTGACACAAATTAACATTGAACTCTATAGTGCATGCATACTAAGTTATAATGCTCTTGCTCACTTCCATTGTTCATAGCAGTGCTTGGAAGGAATGTGTGTAGAGTGTGGTCAGCTCAACATACTACAGGGGTTTCATTAGTGAGAAGGACTTTTGCAGCAGTTTTTGGTCAAGGACCACATTCCCCAGATCTGACTGCTACCATGCTCCCCCTGCGATTTTTTTTCTCTTTCCAAAAATCAGATCATGCTTGAAAGGAACAAGATTTCAAGATGTTTAGGAGATCCAAGAAAATGTGATGAAGCAGCTACTCACTAGCCCAAAAAAGAAGTTCCAGGAATCAATGGAAACATCGTTGGATAAAGTGCATGGCTTCAGAAGGGGATGATTTTGAAGGCGATTAAATGCTGAATTGATATGTATTGTAGTTTTCTTTTTATAGTACCAGTCTCAATAATTTTTGATCAAACCGTTTTTACAAATGATCATGCTTATTTTTCACATATTATATATACTTAAGTATAATGTGAGATATTATGATCAGTTTCATTTGCAAAGAATAGGGGTTCCACTATACACAGGTAATTTTTTTTGAAGAGTTAAAAAATCATGGATTTTTAATGACCAGTTGCACTATACATAGATAATTTTTCCTGGAAAGGTTAAAATTCATGCATCCAGGTAGGCCTACATTCTCATGGTACCTTTAGCTAATCTTATGGCAAAACCTTAACAAAAACAGAAGTACGGTATCTAAATTGTTGTATAAGATGATTTTACAGTAAGTGGTTTTTCTAACCATTTTGAGGTAGCTTTGTTCAAAAAAAGAATGAAAACATTTATTTGTTATAAAATATGTCCAAGGTGATGCCCAGTGCTGCAATATTTGACTATGGTAGGCTGACTAGTATTGTTCAGAAGCTGGGGTTTCATTAAACGCAATCTATATGAAAAAAATGAGGATTTTCCACAAAAAATTCAGGTTTGCATTATACATTAAATAGATTTATACACAAGTATATATGGCAATTAAAAAAGAAGCAATTTATTATTTGTTCACAATCTGTTATAATTATGATTTCTTTTCCAAATAAACCTTATGAGAAAGAAAAAAAATAACCTGTTTGTGTATCTTTAACATATTTTATAAAAACATGCATACATTGACTATAAAACAAAGCAGCCTGTTAGAAGTGAATCTGTACTGCAACATATGCAGCCATGTATTGTAATAGGCTATGGATATATTCATTTATGAGTGATACTGTTATATGCAGGTGATCCTTCTAGCATTTCTAAGTTGATTTTTAACTGTAACTTGGAAAAAACTGTCTGTTGTCACAGTTGCTTCTTATCAGTGTGTGTTCGAACACCTATTTTAAAACTGTCACTTGGTAAAAATGATGATCCACATACTTGAGAAGACGCTTTTGCCCTTGTATGCACTTTCATGTGCTTTTTTAAATTAGAACTCCATGAAAATGTTAATCCACACACTTCACAAGAAAATGGTCTCTCTCCAGTGTGCATTCTCATATGTTCATTTAAACTACCTCTCATTGAAAATGCTGATCCACATACATGACAAGAAAATGGTTTCTCCCCTGTATGTATTCGCATGTGTTTTTTTAAAACAGAACTCACAGAAAATGCTGATCCACATACATCACAAGAAAATGGTTTCTCTCCTGTGTGTATTCGCAAATGACTTTTTAAACTAGAGCTCACTGAAAATGCTGATCCACATACATGACAAGAAAATGGTTTCTCTCCAGTGTGTATTCGCATGTGAGTTTTTAAACTGCAGCTCACTGAAAATGATGATCCACACACTTGACAAGAAAATGGCCTCTCACCGGTGTGTATTCGCATGTGTTTTTTTAAAGTGCCTCGCAGTGAAAATGTTGATCCACATACTTGACAAGAAAATGGTTTTTCTCCTGTGTGTATTCGTATGTGGTTTTTTAAACTGGAGCTCCTTGAAAATGTTGATTCACATACTTGACAAGAAAATGGTTTCTCTCCTGTATGTCTTCTCATATGTCGTTTTAAACTGGCATTCTCTGAAAATGCTGATCCACACTCTTCACAAAAATAAGATTTCTCTCCATTGTGTTTTTGCATGTGTCTTTTTTTCTGTTTGAAATCTGAAAATATTGATCTGCAATGATCCACAAGAGTTGATCACTAGTATGTTAGTTTTGTAATGTAAATTTTGTAAAAAATGTTGATGGAAAGAATAAAGAATTTTTCCTTAGTGCATGTGTATATATATCTATTTAACTGTGAATCATGTGAAAATGCTTTCCAAGAATGTTTTCCTTTTGCTTGACTTGGGTTTTTATGTAGCTTTTCAAAATGTAATCTTCACCTTCTACAGATATCTGTGAATAAAGAAGAGGCAATAATGAAAAGAGAAAGAAAAACTCATACATGATTTGCCATTCTTAATTTATGACTCAAATATAATTTCAATACAGGAATTTTTAATTTAGTTTAAGTTTTATTTATCTGAAGTATAAGATACACTATTAATGAAAAAAAAGAATGAGAAAAAATTTATGCTTTAATATTTAATCAATCAATATAAATAGTAGTATGAAATATTTTATAATGTTCTGACATAAAGATGCCAAGAGCTGAGACCTTAACTCCTGCAATGCAGTGTCATGTATTATATAACAGTAAGATAGAAGAGAATGTCAATTCTGATAAACCAATATATAACAATAATTTGTCTGACTTAAACTGAAAGGAGTCATCACACAAGTCAGGTTGAAATACACTGAGACTGAATACACAGTTGAAACTAGATTTCTGCTTTGAAACTTTTGCACTCGTTACTGACATCATTGTAATGTATAATTAAGCATATAAAACCAAGCATATTTGTTATTTAATATTTTCTAAATTTTAAAAATAAAACAGCTGGTCTATTTCAATATTATTCCCAAAACTGAGTTCATTTTTTATTCATATCTATGTATAATCATAAATTAACTGTTGAATTCACAAAATTAAAGATGGTTTTTCAAAATAAACAAAGAAAAAGTTGCAAAACATTTTACGAGGCGGGTACAGAGAAGTTTTCAATAATTGTTACATTGGTTGATTTGTTTTCTGTGGATTCTTTGCGGGTTAATTAACACCAGAAAATAGCAAATGTTAAAATTCTGTTTCAATAATTGTTACATTGGTTGATTTGTTTTCTGTGGATTCTTTGCGGGTTAATTAACACCAGAAAATAGCAAATGTTAAAATTCTGTTTCAATAATTGTTACATTGGTTGATTTGTTTTCTGTGGATTCTTTGCGGGTTAATTAACACCAGAAAATAGCAAATGTTAAAATTCTGTTTCAATAATTGTTACATTGGTTGATTTGTTTTCTGTGTATTCTTTGCGGGTTAATTAACACCAGAAAATATTTTTTAGATTGTGAGAATTTTTGTGGTGGAGAGAATAATGGTTTAATTCTTCCTAATTAATCCATAGCTGGGGAGAGAAGAGGTGGATCCATATCTTTCTCAAGTGTGCAAGTGAATATAACAAACCCAACAGGATTTGGAACTCAGCTCTCCAATTAACAATTCCAACCCATTATCCATTACATCACTTGCACATCCAAGTTTACAGCACCTGGTATTCTCAAGTGGTCACTCATCCAGGTACTGACCAGGCCTGACATTGCTTAACTTTAGGGATTGTACAGGAACTAGTGTTTCAGCATGATGTGGCCATAAGCCACAGTTCCTTACATTATTAATTAGCTATTAATCTATTTCTTATCCCCCACAGATATGGGTAAATGGCAGGGCAGACTCAGTCATATAGCCTTGAGTGGCATTCAATCTTAGAGGACAGCCCTGAATTAAAAACTCAAAATATGGGTTAAATAGACTCACCAATCTACAATTGGCCAAAAGTGGTGAGCACAGCTACACATGCAATTTGCTATGCAAATAAAATTTAAGAATTTTATGTTTCTTACTGTTTGTAAATTTCTAAATTTTTTTATTCATTAATTTTCTATGATAATCAACCCTTTGCATGTTATTTAAAGCCAAAAAATATTTTTAGATTGTAAGAAGTTTTCTTTTTGGAAGATAATGATGGTTTTAATGATACAAGTGCTCATTTATATACAAGAAATTATTCTAAACATGGACTGATGTTATCTCTTTTACAATCTTTCATATTAAAAGTATTTTTTGATTGAAAGCAAACAATGAAATTTGATTGTTTTACTTATCCTCATCTGACACATTATATATGCTTCAATTAATTGAATATAATAATTACTGTATTATTTTATAAGAAAGCATATTCCAACCTTGAATGTTCTGATCATTCAAAAGAAACTGCTGTGGAAGGAAATCCTTCCTAATTGACCCTAGCTTCAGGGGTGTAGCTGTACCCACCACGCTTGACCAATTGGGGATTAACCAATAACTGGTTCACATATTTTAATAATTTAGTAAATGTTTATAAATATATGAATAAAAAATTGTTTTCATATTTATTTCTTCATGAATTGGTAAATGATGAATATTGCATTGCATTAATTCTATTTCTTTTAGAATATTGTAAATATGGAATTATTCTTGTAAATTAGATACCTCCACAGATTCAGGATAGAATTTTAAATGAAAAATCTTTCTTGAAGCTTTTATTTTAATTTTAAGCTAATAGATTAAACAACATTTCCTATAAGCAAAATACTTTACTCTATTTCAAAACTAATTTAAATAGACTGGATGGATATTTTTTTTTTTTGCTAAAAAATCTGATTTCAGTGCCTTTTGTAGCCCATGTTTATTGTAATGTAATTCCCTTTATTAAAAACATCTTCCAAAAATAAAATATACTTTTCTGAAACTTTATTTGATTAATATATACATATATTAGCTGGTTTAAAGTATAAATCTGATTTCAAACAAATTTGCTTACTTTAAGGTTAAAATATTGCAGAAACACATTTTTAACATAGTGGTAGCTATTTATTTAAGCTGTTGACAGCTTCATGGCAGATGAATGTTTGTATAATTTTTTTCTACCAGTGCTTTATCCATAAAAACATTGAAGAATATATTGGGAGCACTTTTTATATATAATTTTTAAGTAATCAGTAATCTTAAAAATTTAGGAAAATATTCTCCATAAGGTAATGTTTTATTGAATTTTATATACTTTAGCTTTAAATTTACTATAGTTATCCTTCTAGTTCTCATAATGCTGTGTATGACTATATGTATCTACAAAAATCATGCTTATATATATATATATATATATATATATATATATAAGACATTCAAAATTCTTTAAAAAATATTGGTGTTTGATGAATTTATGATTAGTAAATATAGTTTTTACTTAATCAGGTATACTCTTTTTTTAGCAAATTAGTTGAGGTACCTATTGCAAATAATCTAATAGACTTCAATATTTTTGTTGTAAATTCACAAGAACAAAAAATGTATAAGTTCACTTTCATATGTTTAGGTTTTATTACAATTCTAATCATCGTTTATTAAAACATTAAATATTGCTAAAGAGTGAAGGTAAAAACTGTCCTTTTGACACTCCATCTTATTGCAGGCAGGAAGGTCCATGTTTGATGAAAGCTCAGAGTATTTTTCAAGAGGTGGCATTTGAACATGTTTTCATTTTACACATGACTGAAATTTATAACACATTCTGAAATCTCTTTTAAAAACAATGGAGATTGCCAAAGAGTGAAGTTTGTTAAAATAATAGTGTTATCAAGGGAAAAATGTTCTTTTTGACACACTGTTTTCTGCAGGTAAAAAAGTTAAACTTTTTTAAAATCTTTTTATCCAAAAATTTATAAAAAATTACAAAATTATCAAAATATGTAAGAGATGCTCCCAACCAATTTTAGTGAATTTCTGTGGTAAGAGCAAATGAAAAACATGCCCAGAAAATGCATTTTTCCAAACTTTATACTTACAGTAGGTACCTCCACTGAAAAAACAGCAGTGCATGATGAAAAAATACCCCAAACTTGATAAAAAACAAAGTTTTAGCATCAAAATGTTTATGATATTATTAAGAGGATAGATCAAAGTATTTATTATTTTATTAAATTTTTAATCCATTCTAGCACATTCAAAATTTTGGTTAAAAAACATTCTTTTTTCTTTTTGCGCCAGGGGTCTGCTTAATAGTTACTATAGTTTTTTTTTTTTAGCACCTTTTTTCTGGCAAAAAACACATTTGAAAAATCTTGCAAAAATCAAATAATTGTCAGATTTTGATTAAACTCTCAGGACTCATTCACAAATGAATTAAATTATTTTTTAAATTTTTTCTGAAAATCTTCTTAAAAATAGTTTTTTTTTGTTTTTTTTAACATATTATTATTTAACATATTTATTATTTTATTAACCCCCTGCTTATTTATTATTTTATTAACTCCCTGCTTAATTTCCTGAAATTTCAAAAAATTAAATTTTAACTGCAAGGTTTGTTTTATTTGTTAAAAGCAGATCTCTTTGGAGAATGTAAATCATATTTTTTTTTTTAAAACTGTTACTAATTTCCTGAAAATTTGCTCCAAACTGTAGAATGAAAAATGCAATAAAACTATGATATTTAATTAGAAAAGCTTTTAATTGCTTTCATATATAAGATTTATTAAGGACACCATTGTTTTAAGAAAAAAATTTTTTCAATGAATAATGAATTTTTACAAGAATTGTTTTTATTTTTTTAAATTTTAATAATTTATATATGATTCTTTTAAAATTCTGTATTACTTTAATTGTGTTATGTGATATTGTTATTTCATAAAAACTATATTTACTAATCAAAAATTGAAAAGCTTAATACAAATCATCATGTTCAATATTTTTAAAATAATTTTTCATTTATTTTTATGTGTATACAGTATAAATGTGACCATTTCGAAAGTTTGGCCAATCATACACAAACACAACATTATCAGAAAATAAGAGCAATGACTATAGTAAATTTCAAGTCAATATTCCTAAAATTAAATTACAGAGAATATTTTTAAGATTACTGAGTACTTCAAAACTATATAAAAACGGCACCCACATTATTTTCTTAAATTATGTTTTATACATGTCTCCCTAGACCAACAATAAAGCTGTCATCACCTGTCAACACTCATCAATCACATGACTACTGTTGGTTAAAAACACAGCTACTATTTGTTTTAAAATATATATTTCTGTATTATTTAAACAATATTTGTTTTAAATCAAATTAATTATACTCTATCTCTTTATAAAATAAAATGGTAAATAAACGTTGCATTGTACTTGGTACACATATTTTTATAAAATTGTAAAAAATAATTATTCGTTGTTGTGTTTAAATTTTCTAGTTCACATTTTTATAAAATTATGAATAAAATTTTTCATATTTATTTCTTTATAAAATGGTAAAAAAAATAAATCTTTACAAAAAGGTAAATAATAAATATTGTATTGTACTTGTTGGTAATCATATTTTTATGACAATTTTATTTTTATGTAATAAAATAAAACATTGCCGAGTCAAAAATGTAGTGGTGGTGGTAGAGTTAAAGTTTTAAAAGAAATAACCGTATTTTTGTCATAGTGTTTTTCTGTTGTCACGATATTTTTATTGACCGAAATGGCCAAGAGGATAATCAGTAAAAACAAATTTTATTGTTTGCTTTTAATTTAAAGATGATTTTAACATTAGGAACTGTAATTTCGATCACACCGGTTCGTGCACACAGCAGTAAATAATTTCTTGACAATAAATGAGCATTAAACTTAAAGATTTCATGTAACTAGAGAAAAAAAAACAAAATCAATTTGAAAGAATTTAAATTTTTATTAGTATGCTTTTTCATATAGTTTTGAAACATAATTTAAAAGTCAAATTAAATAGCAAGGTAAATAAAGATTTTTTTCTTTGTAATTTGTAAAAATGGAATTCACAATGACTTAATCTTTTAAAAACATTCAATCATTTTCCAATAAAGAATTCGCCAAGATGTAAATAATTTTTATATTCAACAGAACCAAATTTTGGTATAGTAATTCCTGTAGTCGTAAAAAAAAAATGACTATTTTTTATTTATAAACAAAGAAATGAATACTTACTGCTTACTTTCGATTTTATGATTGGATATCCTTGGGGCAATGTAGGATTTGTGAAAATGAAAAAGCTATAAAATTTTAAATAAATGAATGTTTTCTAGTTAATTTGAATTGAAAAATCAGCCGACGTTTGCAATAAAAACAAAATGGTGACGCAAGAGTGTCAATGGAAGGGAGATAATTAAATGAAACCATGAAAAAATGATTTTTTTTCTCGGTAATTATTTATTTATTTTTATAATAAAATTAACATTCACTGAAATGGAATTATTAAACTTTCAAGGAAGAATTTATTCTAATTTCTTTTTTTTCCAATAAACAGAAAAAAATATAATTTTTTAATCTTAAAATTTACAAATAAAAGTACTGAAAGTACTGAATTGATGAAATTGTAATCTTTTTTTTACATGCATTATTTAAAAATCAAATTAGCGCTTTAAAACAGGGTTAGTACAATAGGCACGAAAGCCATTATAAAAATACTATAGTGAATTTAACCTTCACTGTTATAAAATTTATGCAATAAAAAAGAAACATAAAACTAAAAGTACATAAAAATAATTAAAGGACAAATAGAAAATAGTTACAGTACAATAGACTAAATTTGTTTATTATTTTTGTT